CGCCGCCGCGCCGCACAGAGGCAGCACAGCAGCAAAAGTATGTACATCGCAAAACACTAGGAAGCAACCAACTCCTGCGCCGCGGAAGAGCCGCACGCACACGAAGAGAAGCAGAGAGATCAGCAGCTCGCACTGGCGGCGACGGCGGCGGCGGCGAACGCACGCACGCCGGCACAACTCCCGCGGCCGCCCCGCCAGCAGCCCGGCGAGGGGCACCGCACAGGAGCAGGGAAGCAGAAGCGGGGGGGCACGCAGCGCACACGCGGCCGTCAAGAGCAAAGGATATGAGTGAGTAAAGGAGAAAGGCACAGTCACACAAAAGTGGCTCCCATCACCAACGCGAAGCGCGTGGCAAACATTTAAATTGAAAAGTAATAGCAAGATCATTAACACCACTTTGAGCCCAAAAGTATCCATGCACGTCCACCCGCGGGCGGCAGTTCCACACGCAGACAATCCACAGTCGCTTCCCCCCGCTTCCCTAGCTGCCAGCAGCAGCCCTTGCCCGGCGCCCTGAATCCCCTGCGCGGGAGGTGCCACTGCACTAAACAATCCTCATCAACCTCTTTTACCGTCACCGCTTAAAGCAAACCACGCACAACGACGTTGAACCCGCACACGTCCCGTTGCGCCGTTGTCCGGCCCTCGAAACCTGACCCGGGCCCCCACGACTAAACACGGCTAGCGGCATCCGCCAGCCCTCGCCTGGATTGCGGCAAAGCCCAGCCCAACAGGTGCAGTTCCAGAGACGCATGCGCAGGGCGCGCCCACGGCACTGGCGCGGTTGTCAGCGAAGGGGCAGAGAAAACAAAAAAGTAAAGAAAGAAAGAACACCGGCCACTGCACTACGCTCAGAGCACGAGGACACAGACTGAAGCCCAGACGCAGCCTATCATCCCGCGCGAGCGCCGCGGTGGGGAAACGTCCGCCGCCGCCTTCCACAAGTTGCCCTGCCAACGGCAGGCACCCACTGCGCCTCCAGAGAAGCGCACGGTGTGCCCTGCCCACAATAAAATGCCGCGCAGCCCAGCCATACACAAGGCTACGCCCGACACGCCATCGCAGCCGCCCACATTTTGAACGTGCGGTGAGGAATGCTCGCAGCCCAAAGCACATCCCCCACGGCATCTTTCAGACACGCGCAACCGACGCAGAAACGGCCCGTAAGCACAACAAAAAAAAACAGAAGCGCACACACCTCACATAAAATAATCCACGCATTCAGAAAAAAAGGAAAAGATAGCAGCTCGACGCAGGCCAACCTCCATCGGAGAAAACTGTGAAAAGAGTGGGGCAGCCGCCACACAACCGCGGTTGCAACGCGAAGTCGCGTCGGCACAGAGGGACGCACGCCACAGCACACCGCGCAGCCCACGCGTGTCGCGGCAGGGAACTTACCGGCGCAAAAACTTCAAGTGGGGCGGTGGGCGGGCCACCACAGTCAGCGAGCCGCCAAAAGAGGCCGTCGACGCGGCCAACGGCTCCAGGTGGTCGCCCCGCCGCGGCGGCGACGCCACCGACGCCAAAAGCGACATCGTCTCCGGCGACATCGATGCGCCCCAGCCAACGGCACGCCGATCCTGCGTGCCCAGCGACCAGCCCAAACGGGAGTCGTGGCCGCCCACCGACTGCTGCAGCACCTGGCTCAGCCGCACCGCCAGCCGCTCCACCGCCTGCGCCACGTGCTCGTCGACGGGGACGTTCCGCCCAAGACGACCCGCACGAACATTCCAGCGATCGCACATGCCAGACAACACCCTCACCCGCTCCGCAACAGGGTACGCACT